TGGGGACGCCATCACAGAAGTTTCTGGCACCACAAATCCTGCTGGAGTGGCTGAACTGAGCAGTGTTGTGCCATGCATTCCTATTGGCCAAATCCGTGTGCCCGGCCTTCAGAACCTAGGTACCCCGAGCCTGTCGTCACTCACATCACTAAGCATGGAGGCTGTCAATATCGTAGGCCTGGCAAACCCCAACATCGCCCCACAGGTGCACCCCCCGGGACTTGCTCTCAACGCCGTGGGACTGCAGGTGTTGACTGCGAATCCTCCTTCCCAAAGCAATCCCCCCGCTCAGGCGCACATTCCAGGTCTCCAAATCCTAAACATAGCCCTGCCAACCTTGATTCCCTCAATCAGCCAGGTAACTGTGGACACCCAGGGAGCTCCTGAAACACCAGCTTCCCAAAGCAGAGGGTGCGAGACACAGCTCAAGCAGACACCCGCAGCCAGTGCAAACCAGGTCAGCAGGACCGATTCTCCTCAGGGGTCACCTAAAGTCCAGCAGGAAAATGCAAGAAAAGCACTAGGTCCACTTGCCCCTGCAGGTGACCACGCAAAGCTCGACAGCTCAAGTAAAACAGACTCTGAGAGGGCCACCTTGGCAAACCACACGAAGCCCACACCTGAGCTCACCTCTGTGCCCACGCCAGGGGCACTGCAGAAGGCACAGGTTGAAGCTTTGCCCAAGCCATTGGGCCAGCGCACTCTGTCTCCAGACAGGCAGGGGTCGAGGGCTGCAGCACTGCCCCAAAGGCAGCTCACCGTGCAGTTCAGCGATGTGAGCAGTGATGACGATGAGGACAGGCTCGTGATAGCAACCTAGTGATTTATTTTTTATCGTTTTTTTTTTTTAACTAACACTTAAAGGTTTCTTTGAAAACCCTCCTTTCTTTAAAGCACATTTTTCTGACATGAACTCATGACTAATCTTTGTGCAATCATGAACTTTTGACCAATAATTGTTTTGTGTCAGCTCCAGCCATTTTTGTACATGTTGTATAGACAATTGTGCCTTTTAGGAGTTTTACGTTTAGAAACTGTACAGATTGTTGAATATCTATATACATAAAAATGTTATATATGTATATGAAATCCAGGTAGTTATTTGTGTTTAGTAAGAAGAACCAGTCAAATAAATCAGATGATTAAATTATATGTTGCACTGTTAAATATAAATTTTTATGGCTGTGGGGCAGAGTTTCTGTGTATAAATTAGTATGTAAACCCCATATTTATTGTACTCATGTTAGTCTTTGCAAATGGATCTGTCTTCCTCCTTGTGTAAGATGTTAACTTTACACTTCAGACAGATTTTCTGTGTTATGAAAGGTTTCAGTAAAATATTGTTTACTGACTTTACCATTGCTTGAGTTGTGCTGTCTTTTTATCTCTAATGACCAGTAATCTGCATTTGGAAAATAGCCCCAGGTTCCACGCCTTCCAAAAACCCCCACCCTTGGTTTTGAGGTCCACCCTTTGAAACTGTGACTGCAGCCTAACAATTTTTCTTAGCTGTTTCCCAATTTTTCTTAGCTGTGAGACGTAATTTTGTAGTCATATAACTTGTTAGAAATTGGCTATTTGAGAACATTTTCTGTAAGCACATGTAAGAGACAGACTGAAAAGGCAAAGTTCCTAAATGTGGTTATGAAAATTCCTGGTAAAAGTCCTGAGTTGGCATGGGTGAGACCCCTGAAGCCATACCCCCTAGACTGTGCAAGTAGCCAGGGCTTTTTGTTCTTCAGTCCTACACTAAACCCCAGAAGATGCAAGATTCATGGAAAAACCAAAATCACAAGTTTAACTCATTCAGAAAAAATTGCAAGGATGGAGGTAGTTATTACCACTATAACGATTTCCATTATTACCTGAGGATTACAGAAGCTAGGTTTGTGAGAAAGATGTTTTAATGCTGGAATTTGAATATGTAGTACACTGTTGGGTCAGTTCAGTTACATTTTTAAAGGACTGCTTCCTACATTTAACTATGGTGTGATGTGCTTGGATGTTCTCTGAAAATTTAATGTTTGTACTTTGAACATTTCAGGATTCATTACACTATGTACATACATTAATATTAGTGATTTTCATGCTTTAATGTGGCTTTTCAAGTATTTTCCTACCACAGAAAGTCACAGACTCAATGGTTCAACGAGACTTTTTCAACTGGGTAACGGCTGAAAGCAGTATGCATTCTGTAGAAGTGTACTTGAAGTTGGACTTTCTGCTGGACTAGTGACAAGTTGGATGCTGGCAGCAACCAGTCACACTGAGGGTGAAACTGACACCTGACAGAGGCAAGCTGTGTAGCCAAGCAAAGGTGCTCAGAGGTCAGGTAGCGTAAGTGGATTTTTAATCAACATATTAGTGGATTTGTTGAGGGGTTATCCTAAGTCAAGGAGCATCTATTTGTATTTGAAATATGCAGCTAAATAAGAAATGTTACCATAGTATTTGCCATTACATTTTGAAATTAATCCCATACGCAAAATAGACAAGTTAATTTTTTAACTATTTTTGCTAATAGTACAAGGGGTTTCATTTGTGATAACACCATGGACCTACACAGTATACTCTGCACAAATTCACCCCCTGGGAATAGTTAATTTTCAAGGGTTTCTCCATTTTTCCCAAGGAACACTGTCCAGTTAAAATTCCCAAATGCAAATGGTTTGCAAATAATGGAATTCAGAAGGCTGCTGGAACTTCATTTGACCTGGCCTTTGTGCTTCAAGGATGACCCAGATCAGTAGGGAACTAGGGTGCAGTGACATGGCAAATCTCTTTGCAAAATATCTGGCAAAACTACGTCAAAAGCCTGATGTGGGGCTGGGAATGCAACTCGTGGTGAGAGCGCTTGCCTAGCAGGCAGGAAGCCTTGGGGCTCGATTGCCAGCACAGCAAAAAAATGAATAAAGCAAAAGCATAATTTGAAGCAATTTCAGTATCTTCTCATATAAATCTATTACCATGACCTCACCAGAAGTGATGGGGAAAAATAACTGAGGAACCAAAAGTCATTTTTCTAGTTTTCAAAGATGAGCAGATCTTTGCTGTGAAATTTTCTTGTAAGTTAACATAAATCAAGGGCGTTCAAGTAACTCGGTTTCACTACTGAATCTTAGGCCACAATAATTATTTCTTTCAGAATGATAATTAACAGATGATTTTTTAATGTAGAGATTTTGTTTCTAATTTATCATTTTTTCATAGTACAACCATGATTTTCTTTTCACAGAAACAGTGTAAATAACCATTTTCTCATTAATCACTGACCTGAATTTCAAATAATAGCACTTAATAAGGATTATAGAGCATAGTCATTACTTTCAGTGTTTTTTTTTTCTTCATGGGTGCTCGGGTCAGACTGTAACATCAGTCCTATTCTTGGTGTTCCTACTTTTAACCCTACATTTTGAGATTAAATTTAAGCAATACCAGAAAGGTGCTTTTCATTAACTTCGTTACAAAATTATATACATTCTAAGGGTGTTAAATCTTAAGACAGAAATCTTCCTTCAAAATGACTTCCCTCCCATGACCTTGGAGCATTATTCAATATTTGAAGACAGCTATTAGATATATATTTATATTTTAATGATAATAACTTCCTATTCTCATTAAAAAGATAGTGCATTTAAAGTAAGAATAGTAAAACATTTTCTCTACAAAGTGTATAATCTGAAAACCATCAGGATTCACTTAAACATACTGGATTCTCAGTCCTACACAGGTTGCTGTAGAACTTGCACACAGAAGGTGCTGTGATAGGCAGTGTAGGCATACCTGCTCTCAGGTGTTTCCTGTCTTCTGAATTAGGCTCGGCCTGAAGACTCAGGCCTCCAAAATCAAGTAATGATTTAAGTGCCAACCAAGTCCAATACTATGAAAGAAACGAAAGAAATTAGAAGACATGCTTTTTACCCAAAGGAGCATGCCTGCCATACAGACCAGAAAATGATAGGAAACCATATACCTTAAAACCACAGCAGGTAAACATACGAGAGTTAGTTATTGTCTTAAGTAATTAATGAGTGTGTTATGTATGTTGGGAACTGTATTTTGAAGGAGGTGTAGGATGTGAGGCTTTCAAATAAACACCATGCCAAGCAGTAGCACAAAAATAGCAGTCATGAAGGCTAAAACAAGTGGAAAGGGATTCATGCAGACTTCATAGCAGTCATGAAGGCTAAAACAAGTGGAAAGGGATTCATGCACCAGCCATGCAGACAGCACTTGCAGAATGCAAATGTAACGCAAATTAATAGCTTTTGCCCTCCACAAGCTTAAATTCTAGTATAACATAAGATACAAAGGATCATGAGTGGCTTAGAAGTGGCACAACTGGCTGAGTTGACACTTGTAGGAGAATGGGACATTTAAGTTTGGCCTTCAAGGGATTTTATTAAGTGGAGACAATGCATAGGATGAACATTACAAACAGCAGCAATATGGGGGCAAGTCAGGATTTATTCCAAGCAGGAAGGATTATCTCCCCCAGTTATAGGCAAGGAAGCTGCATATCACAAATGTTATAAAACTGGTTTTGCAGGTGCTGGAGTTGGCATTTGTCACCCGGATTGTGTGACCCAGCATTACACATACGTCAAGATTCAGGGAATAAAAAAGAGTCCATAGGCCAAAAGAATGAAGAATGTGTTTGGGATTCAGCAGACTTCTGACAAAGCTGAGATGACATTCTGGAGAACATGTGATTTAAGGGTGTTTATCACTAAGCTCCTTGGGGGGAAAGGATGCTCAGTGGTCAGCATAGTATGGGCAAGAGAGCATGGACTTTTGATCCAAAAGACCGACCGTCTGCCTTTCTCTAATGTGCTGAATAATTTGTGCAGGAACAAGACAGCAAAAGGAGAAAAGGAAAGTCATGCCGAGGAACATGGGAAGCAAACACAAGCTAACTGTTACCAAGACAGCATCCTTCCTTCTCATTTGATGGACTCACTAAAATTACAGGAGACGTCTGCCAGTGACTCACAGGTTGAACTCAGCATCAGGGAGATTTCCGTGGCTGGAGACATGCGTTGAACATACAGCAGAACCAGACAGCAAAGCAGGGCTCTGGGACTTGGGTTGCCAATGTGACTGTACTCAGTACCATAGCGGTTTCCTTGTTACCAAGTTGAGTGTGTGTCATTCACATCTCCCTTCCCCACAAGAAAAAGCATAATGTGGGAGAAATTAGGAATACATTATTTAGACCCAGGCAAAAGATAGCCACAGTCTTGTCTCACACGATCGGAGCATCCTGGGAGTATTGTTACAGTTTGAATAGGGTATGTCTCACAGGCTCATGTGTTGAACGCTTAGTCTCCAGTTGGTGGCCCTATTTTGGGAGGTGGGACCTAGCTGGAGGAATTAGATGATTGGGGACATGCCTTTGGAGATTAGATTGGTTCTCAGTTCCTTCTTCTCTTTGCTTCCTGTCTGCAAACCTCATCCTCTGCCACATGCTCCAGCTGCCATGAGCTCGAGGAGAATCACAGAAGAAATAATGAGAAAGTTGTCTTCCCAGTGGGAAAGAGAGAGTCGGGGATTATGAAAGAAAGGCAAGTTGGCTACTATGAGGGAAATTCTTTGTCCCCATTAATTTTTATGTAAAACCAGAATTCACCTCATGGCAAGAAATTGTTAAGGATTCATGATGCATGAGCAAAACTCATATTTGCATAATAACCAGACATAGATATAGAGGAACATATTTATCTTCAAGGAAGACTGCAGGATTAAGTTTATTGTTTACACCAATCCTTTGAGATACACAGCATCAGCCAAGAAAAATGTGTAACTTCTGAAAGTTGTTCCCATTACCACTTCCAAGAGCAGGGATTCTGAGAACTGGGCCTGCACTGAGGAGACACAGGCCACCAAGTAGGGACCAGAAAATGATCCATTCACATTCTGACATCAGGCACAAGGATTAGGCAGACATTTCTTCCAAAGTTATGAATCAAGTATTGTTTCTTTCGTGGTTTCAGTCTTTCAGACATAATTAAAATTAAAAATCCCTGTTACATTTAACCAAAGTTTTCTAATTACTTTGTTTTTTTGTTCTCAGGGAATTTAGGGTTGTTTTATTCGGTCCTGCGAGAGAGTTCCATCAGACGCTAAGAGTATTTCAGCACACTGGAGAATTCTTTGCTACATTGTTCCTGCTAGAAGCAGGAACTATCTGTGGCATTATGATGGAATATCAGAGGT